GCGGGCGGGGCGCGGTGTCCCCCGGCCCGCGTTACTCACCGGCGGGCGGCGGCGCGCGGGCTCCGCATGTGCGCGGCGGCGCGGGCGCTCCGCGGGCGCGGCGCGGGGCTGGGGAGCAGGTTGTTCGCCGGCCGCTCTCGCGATACTTTCGCGGCCGCCGCTGCTGGTGCTGCGGGCGAGCGCTGAGGGCGAGTGAGGGAGCGCCGTGTCCCCGTCTGGTGCCACACAATGGCCCCGCCGCCCCGGCCAGCCCCGCCGCCGCCGCCGGCCGGTGCGCGCTGCCGCCTGCGCCCTCCCCCTCGCCTCCTCCTCCTCCTCCTCCTCCTCCTCCCTCTCCCTCTCCTCCTGCCGCTGCCGCCCTCCCTCCCCTCACGGCCGCTGCATTGGCAGCGCCGCCGTCCCGCTCCCAACTCGCCGCCCGCCCGCCCCGCTGCAGCCCGACGTGCCGCGGGGGCTGCCCCGCCGAGGGGCGCGGTGCCGCCTTCTCCCGACCCCCCCGCCCCAAGGGTTTATCTGTAGTTGCGCGCCAGCTGATAAATCCCAGATGCTGGCGGATTTATTCTTTTTTTTTTTTTCCAAGATGACCTTTTCGATAGTCGATTTGAATTTTAAATTTTAATTAGGCGTAATCGCATCAAAAGTGAGCCCCGTGAGTGAGTGAGGAGGGGGGTTGCGGGGTCGGCGGGCGGGGTTCCCCGCCGCGGTTCCCACCACGGTTCCCAGCGCAGCCCGGGATCGGGATCGGACCCGGCAAACGCCGCCGAAACCCGCCGGGAACTGCGGCTGCCGGAGCCGCTCCGGCCCCGCTTGGAAGCGGCGGGGATATCGCTGCTGTGGGTTATCCCGGAGCCCCCGGGGCTGCAGCAGCTCCGGGAGGGGAGGCAGAGTCAGGGAGCGATGGATGGAGGCTCCGGATCGATGCTGAGGTTTTTGTTGCCCTCGGAAAAGAAAAGGGATGAGTGTGAGAGTGCTGGTGGCTGCGGGGGAGTGGAGGGGGAGCGGAGCGCAGCGCAGCACTGGGTTCGCTTCAAAGCTCTCCTGCGCTCACCCTGCGTGGTGTCAATCGGAATCTCCAGCCCGTGCTTTAGCTTCCAACAAGTACAGCAGGGAAACTCCTTTCCCTTCCTTACTCTAGGCTGCCTTGCCTGAATTGTAATATCTGCAAGATAGCAACTTTTTATATATATATATAGACATATTTTTTCCACAGTTTTCCGTAATTTTCTACAGTTAGCACTTTAAAACGTGAGGTTTCTTGACTGGTATGTTTGTTACTAATTTAATCTGTTTCTTTGTTATGTTATCTTTAGGATCTTTGTCACAGGAGTCAGGGTCTGCATCGCCAATGACACTTTTCTCTCACAAACTTCAACTATTTAACTCCACTGGCAGCAAATGCCAGGACATTTGGGTGTTTTTGAGCATTAATGATTGCATCGTCACAAAGCTCTTCTCAGAGTAATAGTATTTGGTAATACTGTCATTCCTATGGTTCGAATTGGAAAACTCCAGCCCAGAATGTGGAGGTGTCCTGCTCCAGTAAAAGAGTTAAAGGTCCTGGGGTTAAATCTGTCACCGTTCAGTAAAGCCCGGAGCTTTATCTATTTGTCCACCGTGGCAGACATGCTCAGGGAGCAGGAGCTGTGACCCTTTAAAGACTGTATGATCCCACAGTTGCAGTATGATAGTTACAGGCTCTACCAAAAGTGGAGCAATTTCTGCCCTCAAGTGCAAGTGCAGTTTCCATGAAGTTGCTCAGAGGATTTGTTAACCTGTGGGGCTTTGTTGTCTTTGTACATTGAAAATGTTAGGCAGAATCTTGTATTCATATTAATTATGCTACTTGGCAGAAATCCCTTATTTTTTATAATTCATTGTTCATTTTGTCCTCTCCTCTTTCTTTAATAAATAAGTCGAGGGAAAAAAAAAGATTACAAAAATAAACAAGGTTTTAATTCCTGTTTGGGTGCTGTGAACTAGGTATTATTGTTAGGTTGCAGACAGTGTCTTATTTTTAGTAAACCAATTACAATTTCATAGTAAGTCTGTGCTCATTACTGAGTTTGAAATGTCAGATAATACAAGAGTGTTCCCATTTCTCTAAGCATCCATTTGGCACATTGCTGGCTTGCTTTTTCAGGACTCAGAAATACTACACTCAGCTTCACACCAAGGCAACGCTGGATACAATACAGGTGTTGTACTGATTTACCTACGGTTTTATAAAATACTGGTAGTACAACTCTCTAATGTAAACAAGCACAAAGTCATTACTGGAAGCAAGGCAACAGGAAGAACTGCCCCAGAAGCTTTATTCCAAGAGCTCCTGCCTTTCTGACAGCCCTTGTGACAGCACGGTGGGGTAAGCAAACCACCTGCTTTCACATCCCTGGCCCCCCAGCCCTTCTCAGGCTGAGGGCTCCCCTACTAGGAAGCCCAGAGGAGGCTCCTTTTTCAGTCCTTCCTCGAGGGAGCAGAGCCAGGCAGAGCTGCTTGGCCAAAATAGAACTTTCTGGCTGGTGTCTGTGCTTAGAGGAGACCACAACCGCTGTGCTGCCGAACGTGAGGGTGGCTGAACGTGAACAGGGACTGATGGAAGGTGTTGGGAGCAACCACGGTGGGTATCCTTGTGCAGGTGTGTGCATTCCTGTGTCTGGCTAAAACCCTCCTGGCCTCCAATAAGCCTTTTGCTGCTTATGGAGCCTTCTAGAGTCAAGCAGAAAGCCTGGGTTTAGGGCAGGGACAGTAAAAATCAGTGGTGCTGGCGGGACTTCTACTTGCCAGGCAAGGCTAGCCCTGCTCCTGGTTGTTTTTGCTGCCTGGACACCAGCCAAAACCCACAGAAATTAGTAGAAAAACCAACTGGATCAAGTCCATAAAGCCTGAGGACTCGCTTCCATTCTTGCCCCTTTGATCCAACCAGAGTAGGTATTTACCGAGCGGGGCCTCTCCAGCCCTCTTTGTTGGCCAAATGCAGAAGCGGTAGCAACAGGTTTTTCGTGCGATTTAATCATTTTCTCTCTCACCGCATTGGGCAGAAGCCTCTTTGTGTTTGTTTCTACATGATTTCAGTGCTTTTATGTTCTTTTTTTTTTTTTTAATAGGGCATCTTCTTTGTGATAGTCCAGTTGCATTTCAGAGGGAGAGTCAGGGCCTGAGACTGTTTGATACTCGCAGGATTGAAGCTATTTTAAGTGCATTGGTCATAGAGAGGTTTATTTGCAGAAGTTCTTCCAAACTTTTTCAAAGGCTGTTTTATCCCTTGCAGACAGCAGCGGGCATTAGAAAGACTGAATGCTTCATTCCCTCCTGTGAAACTGTGAGGAATTTAACCCCAAAAGATGTTGGTAAGACAAGGAGCTGCCATAGGCATTTGTGGAGCTTCCCCAATTAGCAATCTCCTCCAGCACTTACCCTGCAGTCAAATCCAAGGTCAGCATTTGGGGGGTTGCTCAGTTTGCAGTCAAGTCATAAAAGTGGGCACGACCTTCCCAAAGATTCTTTCAAGCACGTCATCCAAGACTCAAGAAAGCATTAACTTGCACTGCTGCCATGCCAGACATTAATCAGAGCATATATTGCAGACAGTCTCCTCAGCAGTGTGCTTATGTGAGTCGTATTTGTTTTATGGCTGTCCTGCTGATTTCTCCCTGATAATGAGACCCTGTGTGCACTGCAGTATTTGTGAGCATATATTGTAGCAGCCAGGGCCATTGTCAAATCATCCTACCAAGTGGAGAGGCTTGTGGCACTAAGCTGCATTTGTAAATTACATATTGTTCCATTTGCTATAACGTTGTTATCAAGAAGGCTACACCAAACCAGCAACGGGCATTAAAATCAAAAAAGGACTCTGCAGAGGTGCCACTGGCATAGGTCACATTCGCCTCTGCAGTGAGAGTTTGCAACATCCCTGTCTGAGCCAGCCAGGCATTTAATATCACACCTGTACCTTGGCTCCCTTGTCAGCGGCTGGGCAGCAGCTTCCGCTCAGTTATTCATCTTCCATAGTTTCACTCAGCTTGCCTAACCCTCAGCTTCTGGTTGTTTCTGTGACAATCTGCCGTGTTCTCGTTTTCTAGAAATGGTAAATGGAGGTACTTTTTCAGCCATTGGGTTTTTTTCCATAAGGGGAGCATGCTTCTTGCTTTGCAGTGCTGAAGGAAATTGATATGGCATTGATAAAGGCACACTCTCTTCTTGCAGAGGTTTTTTTTTCCCCCTCTTTCACCCTTGTTCATCACCTGTATTTTAACATTGCATGGGTTTTCTTGGCCAAAATAATTTAAAAAATATAATACAATCAATCATGGTATCTCCTTTTTAATATTTGTTTTATTTATTCATCAGTGCCCAGGAAGGAAATTCGAGAGCCCACATTATAAATTACCAGGTGTACAGAAGTTTGTAGCAGGGTGTACAGATAATGACAGTGAAAGGTCATAAATACCAGTGGACAGTAAGAGACAAAATTGGTGTCTGCACTGGGACCAGACATAAAATTTATCAGACCCAGACAAAAGTCTTTAAATCAGAAGCTGATGTATCCTCAGATAAGCTAAGCAGCACTGGTAGGGTCCAGCATAGAGTTACTAATTTCTTATTAAAGGAGAGGATTTAATTGGCGTTGCTCTATTTGTAAGCAAATAACACAACGTGTTAACAATGCACTTTATTTTAGTAACTCCCAGAAGAGAGCTAAATACTGCAGAAGTGTTTTGCTAGATTAGGACTGGGAAATCTCAGGATGAAAATACTTGCTGAGCAAAAACATAACCTAAAATAAAGGGTTTCGTACTAGAGGTGTTCTGATACAACTTTAGCAGCAGTTCCTCAGAAAACAGTTTGTCCCAGGATAAATCCATTGTATCTCCAGCTACTGCCCTGAGATTTGTAAGGCAGCAACCTGCCATACTTACCCCACTGTCTGCAAAAGGTCTCATAAGCAGGATCCATTCCTCTCTTGGAACTCGTGGGGTTGTCCGAAATTATTTTTAGGACAAGCGTTGTGCTCTTCATTAGATAAATCAGCAATCTCAGAGCATAAAGAATTCTGTCTTTTCCCACATCTGTGGCATATAATCTTGGTCTTCTTTTG